TCAGAAAAGGCAACAATCCTGTTCTTTCTGCTCTCTCTTCACTTAGCTCTCACGTTAAATAAGGGAAGATAAAGCCACTGAGCTACTTAACTAATCCAAACGGTGGTAATTGTGTTCAGATTTGTCTCATTCTTACAGCCTGTCTGGATGGGATCTGTCAGGTTTATTTTCTTTGCCCCATCTTCCCTGTGTTTGTCATCAACACTGTGCTTGTGGATGGGTTACTTCCACAACCCAGACAGTTCTCAGAGTGGCTGACAAGGGGCAGCCGTGACCTTTGAAAAGAGAGGAGATTTCACTGCTGGGAAGAGCAAGGAACCCATATGTGGCATCTGCTCTGTTCTATCACAACACCTCCACATACTCTTCTGGCCTTCTCCTTGTCACAGGCAGAATGCTGCACCTCACCTGTGACTGTGTAGGTAACACACTGACACACAAAGTCTACATACTTAATGACATGAGGAAAACTTGTACCTCTGCTATCTGTGTTCGGAGTACTTTTATGAATGAAAGTAGGGTTGCTTTGCCTTCTGTTTCAGGCTTTTCCTCCTGACCAAACAAAAAGCTGAGTACGAAAACATTTTGAGACTGATACTGCAGTCCCAAGAGAAGTTTCACTCTTGCTTGTATGATGTGCCCCTTTTTTTCTCTCCCATCTCAAGGAATGAGATGTGTCCCATGCCATCTAAGATGTTTCTGTGCAGCACTCACATAAAGAAAACAGAAGTTAGAGTACTCAGTATTTTTTTGTTCCTGGTATCTGAGGTTTGGCACAAACTCTGACTGCCTTCTGATCTTGCATTCATTTGTTTCTACATCTGTCTGCCACATTATGTGTCAGAGTTTCGTTGAAATAACGTAACCAGGTTTACTGAGGAGGAAGAGTACAAGGATTAGAAATGTGCCCTGTGTTTTGAGCAGAAAATGCCCTATTGTTTTTACTTCAAGGATACGGGCTTGTTTGTCGCTGACGTAATGCCCGAAGCAGCCATAAGTTCCCTTGCTATTCTTGCAGTCTACAAAAGCTGATGTGTCTGTCTGGTTGCTGCAGCTGAGTGTGTCACAGTGCTTCAAAGCAGACGTTCTAGCTACTGCAAATGATAGAACAATGTTTACTTGTATGTTTTCATTTTGAATTTAAAATTAGCGGTTAAGAGTGGCTGTGTTGGGGAGAGCTGCATTTGGTCACACGTGAAATGCCTTTCGTGATTTCTACTTAATCTTTAACTGACATTAGTCCACAGTTCAAAAAAATATTTGGCACAAGGGAGAACCTCTGAGGAGAATCCTTAGAAAAACAGAGGGTGTTCCAGGTATGAATGAAGGTTTGTTGGCAGGCTTGTGTGGGGCTGGCTGGGCACTGAGCTCCCAGCCATCTTGCTCTCTCAGGCTCTAAATTGCATGAATTGTACAATGCCTATTAGAAGTGCTGAACTGTTACAAAGAAGTGGTCTTGCTGCTGGCCAGCTAGGAAATACTTCTGCTAGAGTAGTTGCAAGGTTTCAGACAAATATTGAGCTGCCTGCAGTTAGCATCTTTTTGCATGTGAAGCAAAGCAGGTTCTTCTGGAGCAGATATGCAGGCCCTTTAACCAAGTAGCTTGCTTAGGAGGTTATTTTAAGATTTCAAATGTGATGTTGGTTTTTAACTTAAAACTATCAGCCATAACATTTGTAGAGTCTTTACGTGCAGTGCTGGTCCTGTCTAACCCTGTTTTCTGTGCAAGTAGCCAGTGGTCACAGCACTGTCCTGCTTTGTATTTAACTTACACCTTCATCCTTCATTTCATTATGTATGTGCCTGTTTGTTTCTTGGGAAGAAAAACGTGCACTCTGCTCTGCATTGCTAGAGGTGGTAATACCTTGAGAAATCCAACCCAGATGTTTCACAACAGAAAAGTGGTATCTTTTAGAAATTCAAAAGCAATTAAATCTGTTTCAATGACTTCATTTTCTAAATAAGAGGTTTTCACTGAGGAGAGCTGTCTTGGGTGATGCAGATCCACCTCTCCCTGTAATACGTCGTGTGTGATAATTCAGAGTAACCCCGTGTATTATGTTTGTGTCTTTTCTTTTTAATGGAATGCTTTTTCTTTCCCTTGCTCCAGTCTTACCTCTTCTGTGTCTGTACTTTCCTGACCAGGATCTTTACAGCCATAATGCCCATGGTAGCAGCTGGATTGATTCCAGATGATCCCACATTGCAGCCAATAAGAAGACTTGTGTCCCTTGTAGGATTTATTTTTTGTTCATGTTTGGTACCGTGTTTTCCTTCTGCATGGCCCTGTTAACATGGACTGCTGGTTGCATTCTCATCGGCTGCCTGTGGGATCACAGAAGCACAAAGTGCCCATCAGAATGACCAGTCAGTGCACCACCTGCCATAGTCCTCCGTGCTCATCCTCGAGTACTGACATTTTCTCACCTTTTGCCTTACTGTTACCATGCTCAGCCAATCATTACTCACCAGAAAACCGTTACAACATGCAGTTTTAACCCGAACCTCTGAATTTTACTTAGCTTACTAAGACAGCCTATTGATAATCCACACCAGTGCTTTTGAAAGAACCCAAATCATTCTAATTACTTGTTACGAGTCAGATTCACAGAACATAATGGTTGAATCTCTACATTAATTTCCAGTGTTAATAATAGACTCTTGCTTCCATGTCTTTCTATCTATGTGCTGTAGATTTTGTCTCTAATTATGTATTTTGGGAATAGAGTGTGCACTCTCAGTAACCAATTCTGATGCCCTGTTCTTGACTCTTGCTGGAGGAGATGCTGGTAACTGTTAAAGCAAATTCTCTTTGCATCGGAACTGCTGCTTTGGAGGTCTTTACATCTACAGCAGCAACACAGTATTTACATTTCTTTCTTCTCCATAAATATGCTTTTTTGAAACATTCTCCATAAAAAATTCTAGGCGTAAGAACAGTTTTCACTGTTTCAGAAGGAATTAAAAATAGGCCAATCCTGGAACTACATGATCCTTGAGGTCCCTTCCAACCCAGGTGATTCTGTGATTCTGTGATTCTGTGGTGTCAAGATTTTACAAACGCTGTTTTCTCTTACTTAATTTCATGATAAAAAGTGGAGAAAAAAAAATACTGAACAGTTTCATTGGAAACTTACTACATAAGTAGAGGTACTAAGGTACTAAGCCTGATTGTGCCCAGCAGAAAGCCTCAGTGACTGGACACTTCTCAGCTGAATTGACTCTGGCCCTGAAAAAAAAAAAGAGACTAATTAAGTGCAGAAAGACTTATTTCCCTATGAAGTCTGCACACTTGAAGCCAGGAAATGCAAAAGTTCAGGTCCTGCTAGTTACCTTGCATTGCCCTCGTGCAGCCTTTTACAGCTTTCAGGTCAAGTTACCATGTTAGTAATATTAGTAATTACCAATATGCTTAGCTGTGTATACAATGGGATGCTGTTGGGTTTTTTTACTTCATGAAAGCTGCCTTAAACGTTGTCTGACACTCACATACAGCCCCCTGTGTGCCTGGGGACACTGAAGGCAGAACTCCCTGCTCTGCACAAGGCAGTGTGGAAGGTTGGGATCCTGGTACTGAGAGGAGACTGAAGGGTGTGTGGGTAGAGAAGTTTGGACAGAGGGTCAGGTTTATGCCCTGACGAATATCCCACCTTCTGTCAAAGCTGAGTTTATATTTACATAGAAGCATTCAGCAGTTCTCTTGGCACTGTGCAAGCAAAACAGTATTTACCACAGAGTGTGCAGCATTAAAACCAAAAGGGTGTGAGGCCAATTCAAACCTTTGGTGTGTGGAACCGAAACTTTTGCATTTCTCAGCAGACCTAAGCACAGTGCTAACAGCTCTTCTACTGAACTCGTTACAAGATTTGAATTTGCTTAATCAAGTAACTCCATGCTATACAAAAATGATACTAAGGAGTTTCTCCAACTGTACCGTTTAGCTGTGTTGTAAGCTGGCAATTTGTTGTTGTATTAAATGGCTGTTGGTTCACGTGTGTCATTATCTTACAGCACCCAAGCCATGTGACAGGAAATGATGTGCACACTCGTGTGCGTTTGCTTAGAGCCTCCATCCTGCACACTCTTGTGCACCTGAGTGCAGTTATTCATTTACATTTGCAGCAGTTGAGTCTATGCAACAAAATGCGCTCACCTGGAAAAAATTGTGGAGGCTTATCTTCTTATCTTATGAATTTCTCTGCTGGCACCACTAAGAACATCCTCTATTTCTGCTTTATAATAAATTATACAGATGTAACACTAAAGATACCACTTTACTTATGCTAAGAAACTAACCTCTATTTTGTGGCTTCTGTATTTTGGGGCTGGGGGAGGAGGAACATACATCTAAACTGATAACTGCACTTGTAGAGTCAACAGCATTTAGAGCTTATCTGAAGCTTCCATAGCAAAACTGCTTGAGATTTTGCAATGACTTCATCTCTAATAACATTTTGACATGCACTCCCATCAGGCTTCACCGCCTTGGTTTTTGTGGATGCCAACAGATTTTTTTGCTCTGTGTTTGTGCTGTGTGCTGTGGCGGGCGTGGAGGTATTTTCAAGATGGTAAACAGTATTCTTTCTTTTCCCTCCTCTCCCTCATCTCCTCCTTCCTACTCGGAAGGTTTAGTTTCTTCTCTCGTGATAAGAAACGTATGCAGGCATCGCAGAAAAACGTCCATTTCCAGGATACTTTTCGTGAATGGTCAAATTCAAATAAAGATGACACCTACACAGAGCAAGGACAAGAAGCCCTGCAACACCTGTGACTAAAAGCCTGAGCTTCCTGCAGAACATCTCAACAGTGTAGTAACAAGAAGCTTCTGTGAACAGATCTGGCAGTTCATGGTCTTTATTTGCCTTGCACGCTGCAGTGGTTGTGTTCCAGATGAACTCCTCAGAAGGGATCACTCACTGTTTACTTGGTGACTGCTGAAAAAGGAATCCAAGCTTTGTAGGAGCAGTTGATACCCGGGGACATTGAAGCTTCTAGATGACTTGTTTTGTGCTGAATAACAAGTCTATGGTCTTGTTTGTGCATTAACTACAGTAACACAAGCTTATCTAAACCAAAAAAAAAAGACCTGTGCCATTATTAGAAGTTTGTTTGCGGTGTACAATATCTATTGGCAAAGACTCTGTCACCTTATTTGTTAAAACTTTTGGTTGTTTGCTTTTTTGTAACTTGGTAAGAATTTTTTCAAGAGGGATACCACAGCTGGCCGCTCTCCCTGCAGATTGTAGCACTGCTGTGTCCTGTCAAGTTCACTCCTGAATTTTGCAGAGTAACCCCTTGGAAATCCACCTGATAGAAAGTGACAAACTGGAGTAGCCTCAAGAGGGATAAGGAGTGTACATTTCCCTTGATGCTTACAGTGCCTAAAGCCTGAAGAAACCCACGTGTGAGGTGAGCGTGCCTTGCTTTTTGCCATGAGTTCTGCAGTAGTAATGGAGAAAGAATTGCTTACAAGGAAGAATTCTAACACTTGAATTTTTTCTTTCTTACCAGAGACTTTCCCCTAGAGTAGCAGACAGCTGCCATAAAGGAGTTAGGTCCCCTTCCCATAGGCAGGTTTTGATTTAAGTCACACTCCACTTTTCTGTCTAGGTAAGAATGCCTAACTTCAGAGTAAAAGACATCCTCAGCTGACATGAGCTATCTTAACTGACTCTGAGATGACCCCAGCTCAAAATGTTTTCTTTTTTCTGACTACCCTAAACATTACTTAGGCTGGCAGAGACGTGTTCTGTATGTGCAGGTTGCTCCGCTGGCATTGACTGTGTGGGCAGCCAGCAAGCGGAGGAGCTTAACTCCTAACTCACCATCAAAAGCCCAGCACATGAATGCATCTGAACTGGCAGGAGGTGGGGTCTACATCTGCTTTGCAATTAATCATGCAAGACCCTTGGGGCTGACCAAGGTCATGCTTGCCTAAACCAGAACACTAAAGCTCCATGCAGCATAATTACTACGTGTGCACGGTCTGTGGCAGTGCACAACCCAGCTTTGCACCTGTGGGCAACTTGTGCAGGCAGAGCTGGATGCAGGTGGCTGAGGATGTCCTGAAGAATACTTAGATAAGAGCAAACCAGAAGGTTTAGTGCAGGCCAGTTGTACTCAGTCCAGGATGATCCAGCAACGGGTTTGTTAATGCATACAGGCAGCAGATCCAGGCTCTTAGCTCATCTGATGTGAAGCTGTGCGAGAAAATCAGTTTTCACAACAGTGGGCTGAATGCTGCTCTGCTCCTGTGTGTAACTGCTCATGTTGAACACAGACCTTCAGCACATCGTAGGGTGAGCATTTACTGTGCCTGCCAGTTGTCACTGACATTGCCTGGGGCAGGAGGGAGAAACGTGGCCTTATATTAAAGGCATTTCCATTTGATGTAGCAACAGTAGCATTTGATGCTAGTATTAGGCAGAGAGAATTTTGCCTGGTTACGTTTTGGTAACACTTCTTAAGTTTTTATGCTTACAGAAAACTTTTCATTAAAACATCACTTCCCTCCCTTGCATGAAAGGCCATTCTCAAACAGAGGGAAGACTTGCTGTAATACTTTAGTTGTGAAGATCCTGATTTCACTTTCAGATTGAGTGGGGAATATAAAAAAGCACACTATAGTTGTAGGCAGTTCAAATAAATTGTGAATGATTCCCATCTCTAGCATAGTTTACAGTCATTTGACACATTGAGAGATTTAGAGATGCAGTGAACAGAAACAAAAGAAAGATGCAGCAGATTCACAGCCTGAATAAGCACATCACTTTTCAAATTAAGCTAAGAGCAACGAACTGAGACAACAGAAAGACAGGCTGAGCTGTTTTCCCCCAGCATCTAAGCTCATATATTAAAAACCAGCTGTCCTGGCCTAGTGCATGTAAAGCTGGTCCCACACACTAGAGCCCTGCGCACTATTGTTGGGTCAAATCCGCAGCCAATTTCAAACAATGACACTAAGCAGTACAACCTTCCCCTATTTATCTCTGAGCCCATTACCTCAAAAATCTAATTAGTTACTCCTGCTAGCATTAACCACTCCGCTCCTCGTCCTCATGTTAGAAACACCAAGTTAATACACATTAAGGTGCCATCAGAAAGGATGGCAAATAGGGATGAGTACGTAAAGGGTTGAAGACCTATCATGTAGATTCTCAATATTTAGCTAAAATCTGCTTGTAAAAAGGAAGGCAGGATGTTGCCAGGTAAAGGGCGTAACAATCCTGTCTCCAAAGCGCAGGATCACTGAAGTTGTTTTGGGTTTTTTTTGTGTGTTTTTTTGTTCTGTTTCGGTTGGGCAGTAAATCATTTTAACAGTTTAATAAATATTTCTGAGAAATGAGCATTTCTTCAAGACTTGCATCTTTTTTTTTTTTCCTTTGTGTGGAATGCTAACACCACCTGCTTTGGGTCGCACTGCGCAGATCTGGCTTCTTTCCCCTGAAAAAGGGTGATGCCACTGCTCATGGATATACAGCCTCGAGCTGGGCCAAGTTGAGGGTGCAGCTATTCAAAGGCTGACAGAAGTACAAGTTAAAATGCAGACAGGATTTTACCTGCAGTGAGGAGGAAAGGACAATGGATGCAGCTGTGACCACATTTAACCATGACATTGTCCTTCAATGATTGCTTATCTATTGATCAGGAATGTGGTTTTTTTCCTCCTTACTAGTCTGTAGTCTGCATTCCTCTAATAAGAGGTAATAACAATTCCCAATACATAAAAAATTGATTTCTTACTACATGCTTCTCTCACACCTCACAGAACTACTTAAGGACATAATATTACTACAGATCTCACCTGTCCCAGTGTCCTCAAGAAAATAAAGTCACTTCCTTTCAGCTTCTGTTTTGGGTCACATATTTCAGAAGTTCAGTTTGTTGCTATCGTTTCATTCCTATTTCTTCATAAAGCGAATTCATAAAGGGCATCTATCTCACAAAATGAGAGGGGGCATCTGGCACATTAAGAATGAAATATGGAGCTCTCTAACGAACAGTGATCCCAGCAGCAAAATGAGGTGAGCACTCAATTTTGATGGGATGGTAACGTGCATTTCTTACTCACCACTTTAAAATATTAATAGAAATGTTTAATTTCTCTGAAGAACAACTGCACTAGGAACACACTATAGAGAGCTTCTAGCAGATAAAAGTCAAAGGCACAAGACAATAACATGAAACTGCTCGTTTGGGTAACGCAGCTCTCAGCCCCATGCTGAAGGTGACACCTACAACAGAGTCGTGTCCACATCCTCCAGAAGGCACAGCGTTTTCCTGCATCATCTCCTCCGTAGCAGTTCATTCACCATGACAGCAGAGGCATGCCCCCAGGCAGCATTAAGGGCAGTACTGCGTGTCTCACACTACAGAAAAGAGTAGTCACCATACTCAAGCTCCCCATCGTTCCCTTAAGACAAGGTGCTGCCAGCTATCGATACTTATCATCATCTCTTTGCTTCTTGGCATCTCTTTCCCTGCTCCGGTCTCTCTCTCTGTCCTTTCTGTCTCTATCCTTCCTCTCTCTCCCTCTGCTCCTCTCCTCTTTTGAGTCTCTTTCTCTCTCGCTGTCAGCCCAACCCCACGACCGCTCTCTTTCTGGCCCTCTCTTCTCTCTGCTCCTTTCATGCTCTCGGTCTCTTGTTCTCCAGTCCCTTGCTCCCTCTCGAGACCAGTTTCTTTTCTCTGCTGAGCCTTCTCCATAGAAATCATTTTTCACATTTGGCAAATTAATGGGTTTCCGGAAAGGTCTGTCCCGTCCTCCGAACCGCAGCTGCCCGGATTCTTTTTTGCCTCCAAAACCTCCTCCAAGCCTCCGAGGAATCCATCCTTTGAGAGTTCTTTCCAGTTCGAAGTCTACGAAGACCTCGTGCTGATCGACAACAAGCCTGTTGGCATCTCTATGGGCCTTCAGCAGAGCACGTTCCTCCTTGTACTCGATAAACGCATAACCCTTGGAAAATCCCGTGACCAGATCTCGAACCAGACGGATCTTTCTGATGTCTCCGTATCGGGAAAAGACCTCCTTTAATTTCTCCTCCGTCGTCTGCAGATTGAGCCTCGCTACGAACAGGGTGAGGTGAGGATCTCCGGTGACGCCCTTGTTGGGGACGTAACGCGCCAGCATGGCCCTCCACACGGCACGGTCGTGGGGCTCCTCATCCGTGCCGTCGATGCTCCCCGCTTTCAGGGGGTCGTACTCCTTTGCTATGGGCGCCCAATCGTTCATCGCTGGCGGGAAAAGAAATCAAATTAGACACAGCTCGCTGCTGACATTTTAGAAAGGTAAACAGGCGTGGGGGAAGCGCTTCCCGGAGCGCAGCGATCCTCACAGAAAGACTCCGGAGCGAGAACCGGGCGCGGCCCCGCCGGCCCCGCCTCAGCAGCCGCTCCCCGCGAGGCTCCGCAGCCCTTCGGGATCTCGGGCCTCACACGGACAGCGGAGCCGCCATCGGAACCGCCCCGTTCCCGCCCTCACGGCTCCCTCCCCACCCCTCACCTCTCCTCACGGCGCGGCCCCTGGCGCCGCCAGCTGACACCGAACCGAGGGACGCCGCGTTCACTTCAGCCGCTCCCCCCGACCCTCCCGGCTCCCACACTGCTTTCGGCAGCCGCGGAGCAGAGCAACACAGCGCCGGACGCGCTCACGTCCCGCTCCGCCCCGCTTCGGAGGCGGTTCCGGGGCGGGCACAACGCGGCTCAGCCCGTCGGGAGCCCCAGGGCGGGGCGGCGCCGGGCCGCGGCCCCTCGATGGAAAGCCGCGGGGTTCGCTCCGCCCGCGGGGTCCGGCCCTGGGGAAGGAAGTTGGTAACGGGCCGCGGACATGCGGCGCGGCGGGGAGGGGGAGGAGGAGGAGGACGGGGAGGAGGACGGCGGCCCCGAGAGCGCGCTGCAGAAGAGCCCCTTCCAGCTGACGGCTGAGGATGTCTACGACATCTCCTCCGCGGTGGGCCGGGACCTCCTGCAGCTCAGCGCCGGCACCGAGGCGCCCGCCGCCGCCGCACGGCTGCAGTTCAGCATCGTGCGGGTGCTGGAGATGCTGGAGGCGCTGGTGAGCGAAAGCAGCCTGAACGAGGAGCAGCTGAGGATGGAGCGGGACAGCCTGCGGGACGAGCTGGAGGCGCTGCGGGGGCGCGGGGCGGCGGGGAGCGGCCAGCAGGTGGGTGGGGAGAGCGGCGCTTCGACGCTTTGAAACGAGACTTCGCTGCCCGGTGGGCGCTGCTGCGATAGGGATACAAACAGAGCGTGAACAATAGCAACTGACTGCTGGGGAAACAGATCGGGGTGGTGAGGAAGGGATGCTCGTTGTAACAATCGCAGTGTGTTTGTAATATAGGATCGTTAAGGTTGGTGAAGATCACGAAGATCACCAACACATCACACCTTGCCCACCAACAGCATCACATCCCCACAGCTTCTGAGCTCCTACAGGGATGGTGACCCCAGCACCTCCCAGGGCAGCTGTGCCAGCACTGACCGCCCTGTGGGAGAAGATTCTCCGAATGCCCAGCCAAATCTCCTCTGGTGCAACTTACCTCCCATCCTGCTGTGACCGGTTACAAGATCACATCCCCTACTTTACATCTCTTATTTTGCAGCCCAACTTGGGACCAGATAAAATGGTGATAGACCTCACAGATCCAAATCGGCCTCGGTTCACATTACAGGAGCTGCGAGAAGTGTTGCAGGAACGTAACCAGTTGAAAGCTCAACTTCTCGTGGTGCAAGAGGAGCTGCAGTGCTACAAAAGGTATATGGCGTGGTCAGCAAAGAACAAGCAACATTTACTTCTTTCTAGGGAGCTTATCAGATGATGGCATTGCAGGTTTGAGCACCTAAATTGAGTTGGGTACTGTCCAACCCTAGAAGAAAAGACATCTCTGCTCCCAAGAACCTACAAATGAGCAAAGAAAAGTGTGGGAACGATGAAGCTTCTATGCAAAATTTTAAGACTGAACTGCCTCTGACTTCGTGCAGTTAGCAGCCTTTTGTAATAACTGTGCCCCTGAAAACCTACATGTGGTTTTTACATCTCTGTATACAAGCTGAGTTCTCACGCAGAGAAAACCTGCATAGAGCAGTTGCACACACTGCTCCTGCCTAAAGCCATGCCACTTGCCGGAACATCATGGGGGTTTCCATTTTGTTGTAGTAGAAATTTACTTCCTCCTCCAACTTGCTGTGAGTGCAGATGGGGTTCCGCTAGCATATCTACTGTTCCTCTGCTCCCAGCATGTGTACAGCATTAATGTAGAACGCAGCCTGTTGAGCCCTTCTGCTGTCATTGAAGAGAAGCATTTTTTGTTTTGTGTTGTTGTTGTTTGTTTGTGTTTTTTTGTTTTTTAAGAATGCCAACAGCTACAGTTCCTTGCACAACTCTGTGCTGACTAAGTTTCTTCAGAGCAGAATCTCAGTCTTTCTGGAAGGGAGCAGCGTGGGAGAAGACGAGAATCAGGAAGGGTCTTCCTTTTGTGCTACAAACTGCTTCACCTCCAAGGCTGTTTTCCTCTCCCACCTCTGCCCCTCATGCTTCTGGCTGTATTATATGGTCCTTGGAGCAATAAATTATTTTTTAATCTAGACTCACAAAGTTTGAGAAGTAGGGATTTCATCTGAGATAACAAAGCAACAAGCTCTTAGACTCAACAAGGCTGCCCTTTGCCTTGTTTGTAACAAGTTAAGTCAAAGTTAAAGTTAAATCCAAGAAGTCAGTTTACAAACTGCACAGCTGCAGTTCTCCCATTGCACTGCTGCAGTGAGGCAGCAGCTTCCCCATCTTGGCCAACTACCTTCACTGTGCAACCACTGGAATAGCTTCTTGTCTTTGATTTCTCATGTGTGACACATAGCTTACTACAGGCCAAGTTAAAAATTGGTAGGAAAGTTTAAAATATGCTGTTAATGACCCAGAGCTTTGTTCCAAGACTGAATGTAAATGCTGCTTTGGGGTTCAGGAAATTTTATACAGAATTACAGGATAAGCCAAAAGCCACCTTCTCTCACGTCCCAGACTGTGCACTGGACAGCAATACTACACTAAGCTAGTGACAAAAATAGCAAAACCAAACAAAATCCACTTCTCTTATCAGTGGGATCATCTCACAGAGAAAGGATGAGACTAAAGAACTGGAGAAGGGACCCCACGGCAGCAGAAAGGACAGCAGTGAGAAGACAATCGTCAAACGGCTGTAAGTTTGTCTACTTTTTTTTTTGATGTTGTTTCAGCAAAGCATGAGATGAGGACACACTGCACACACAGTGAATCCAGGGGGGAATTCTGAACTTCAGCCTACTTGGCTGGATATTTTTTTCCTTCTCCTCTCTATAAAATTCAAACGTGATAGAGAAATCCTTTCAAAAAGCAATCGACAGGGAGGCAAGCTCCACCTAGGGAAGCAGTGTGACACTTTTCTACACAGAGTCAGCATTTCAGAACAAAACTATGCAACCTGGGACCTGTCAGCACATTAAGACTCATGATTGCTGTCCCTGGGGGTTTGTTTACACTGCGTGCAAGCAGCTGCATGCAGCATCCACAAGCTCAGGTCACGTCCTTAAAGATCCCCAAAATAGCAGAACACACCGAGGTGGCAATCACACAGCACGATCCTTCTTCTCCATTTGTATTTTTCTTTTGCAGGTTCTCTTTTAAACACGGAAAATGAACATTCTTGAAAACTTGCCACTTCTGTTCAGAAATGGCCCCAGCAAAAGCATCTGAAGGAGCAAGGAGTCAAGAACTGGAGAACAAAGCATCACTCTTAGTGGTAGAGAATAAGCAGTCTCAGAACAATTGTTGTACAATATTCTTTCAGAATAGGCTTTACTTTGCTTTTTTAGCAACCTTTTAACATATGTACACTTTTTGCATTGTTGGATTCCTTTCAGATGTTACTTGTGGAAAAAAAATAAATGTTTATATATAAAGGTTTTGTTTGTTCTTATTAAGAGAACCTATGATGCAAGTGTACTCCTGTACACTGACCTTGTGTACATACTGGAGTAATCAGCTCAAAGTGATTTTATAAGATTAAGATGTGTTATTTTTTTTAAAGATATGTGACTTCCACGTGCCGTCACAGCTGGGAAAGAATTCCAGCTGACCCCTCACTGATATGACATGAAAAGTAATTCCCCATCTTATTATTAACCAAGTGCTTGAAAAAAGCCCCCACAGTGCTTGTGCTCTTTCTTTGCATTAACTGGGCATTCACAGGAGTGGACTTTTAGGATTGGGATGGAAGAAACTAGCACAGCAAAGGAAGAAAAGCTGTTGCATCACACTCTGATCACATCAAGGACTGATATTATTTCAGAGGTGCAAACAAGCTTCAACTGGAATAGATGCATCAAACATTTTACTTTCAACAAAGGGTTTTCTGGGTTAGACAGTTGTCTTTTTCACAAGCTTTTTTCCCCTCTAATTAGCAGATACAAGCTGTTGTTGCTTAAGTTAATACATATTTGTCACTAGTAGAATCACAGAGGGCAAACAATAGAAGAAAAGCTTCAAAATACCAGTTACAATTTCACATTTAGAAAAGCAGAATTTCAAGAGCAGTAGAGTGTGAGCAAACATAAAAAGAGCAGTGACAGGAATCAAGCTATGATCTGACACTCCTTAGAAGTGAAAGGAAGATCTGAAGTCTTTTGATTCTTTTGATTCATTTTCTAGAACACAGTACGAAGGAAGGAATTCAATGCATCTTCTGGAGAGAGTTTATGTTTAGAGGGGGGAAAAAAAAACTGCATCTGCAACAGCCAGGACACATCTCTGAAAGACTGAAAGATGTTTCCACGTGCTCTGAACGGCCTCTTCCTGTGTGGTTCATCCTAAGACGTATTTTACAGTCTCACAGAGGAGAGGCAAACTACACCTAAAACCACAGTTCTCAGTTCTACCATACCTTAAGGAAACAGCTTCAAGTAACAACAAAGCACACAGATCAAGTAGATGCATGTAAGTGTACCAGCTTGCCAAGGAGGTACAGAGACTGTAGCACAGCCCAGGACCACTCCTCATTGGCAGGTAGGAGAGGAAACAGCGAATGCTGCAATTGTTCTTTTCAAGTTACCACTGGCTACGTTCTTTAGTGAAAACAAGAAGCAGGAGTTCACCAGTTAATGTAGACAGGAGACAACCACAACCTTTTGGGGCTATTCTTTTTCTGGCACTAAAGTTGCATGCAATCGGGTATGGAGAGAAGCTGTGCATCTCTTCTCACAGAAGGGAAGCAAACTATGACCACAATAGAAGAGCCTAGGGTCTTGTTAGAGCAACTATGCTGCCTTCAGCAAAGGCAAGCAAAGAAGTTTAACTCCCAAGCCCAGGGCACCTTTCCCTGTTAAGTGCTTTACATCTCGTTAGAAGATGAATCTCCTGTAAGGCACGAGGATAAAAATCATAGCTTCATGTTCCTCTGAGAAGTATTATAGACACAAGCATATACATACACACACACACTGCTCCTACCAAAGCAAAAGACACCCTCAGTGCAACATCAGCTTTATTACTATCTTCTGATGCAGTGCTACTTGATTACCAGTTAAGCATTTCAGAAGACAATTTTTATGTAAAAATAGGGAGATTCTCCCTCCTTGTTATTTACAGAAGTGACGCCAAAGCACAGAGATGTTAAGCTATTTAATCTGATAGAGAACAAGCAAATTCTTAAACAAAGAACAAGAGGAAGCATTTGATTTCCAATTTTGACTGAAGGGAAGCACTCTAGTACAACAGATGCTACAGCAATGTACAGTAGTATCTTGTTCTTGATACCAGAGAGAAATCACTGCCAACTAAAACAAGACAGTGAAAGAAGCTTACCTGGAACTCCTAACAAGGTAACAGATCTCCAGTTAATTCAGAAATTGTGAAAATACAAAGGCTCTCTCTGCTGAGCTGGCCTGGTGCTAAATGCTAAATAACATCAAGCAGTTAATGGCTAATGATTTTCACAGCTTTCTTTCAAAATGCTAATGATCTGCAATGGAGACACAGGTACTATAACAGCCACTTCATAAATAATAAATATATTCTTTATTTTACAGAGACGTTGTCTTCAAGTTTTTCATTTAAAAAATACATCACTTTGCCACCTCTCTTGCTGCTGGAGCATACAACCACGATGTCGCTATCTGACCTATCACACAGGCAAGCGTGCAAGGTTGTCCTAGAGGGCATTAGCTGGAGCAGCTGCAGCCTTCAAGACATGGAGGGAAAAGAAGACAAGCAGAGCCACAGATCCCTTGCTGACATCTTCCAGCAGCAAGCACAACAAATGGCTCACAGCCATCTTCATCTACACACATGCCAAGCCTTCCTTGGCAAAAATTCTAATTGGTAAGAACTCATCTTTAACATAAAGGACCTGCATTGTATATTGCCCGCCCACATGACAGATTTGGTGATGTTAAAAACATCTGCAAGATGCTAAGCACACAGCTCCCATTTAAGACAGTGGGCCCAGACCATGCTGGACAGACCTACAGGACCAGGCAATAAGGAATATACCTTTCTTCATTGCACAAACACCATCATTACCATTTGAAGCTGCATATAAAAGATGACTTACAGAACCACTATGCTCTACTTCAAGCATTCACAGTAAATAAATAACTTCTGATGGAGCTATAAATAGCATAGGAAGGTAATAAAATTTTCAGAGAGTTTTTTTTGTTTGTTTTGCTTCTTTAAAACCCTCTAGGAATCACCGCCAAGAATCAGTCATCAACTATAAAAAGATACCATCCCAAATTTTAGAAAGTTGTCTCCAACGTTGATTCTCTCAGAAAGTTAAATTCCTACATTTTTAATCAGTATCAACCCAGCCTATCAAAATCCATCTTTGTCTTGGAGTCATTTCTCTGAAAAAAAAGCCAGTATGCCCATCCATTTCCCTCAGCACAAGTGCATCTGAAGTTAATCACTAATGAGACACCACAGTGGGGGAAAGAAAAAAGAACCCCACCACAAGTTATTTGAGAATGATAGAAACAATAGCATCCATTAAAAAAAAAAATCTTTGCAAGAAGTCTAACAAGTAGTCAAGCCACTGACATAGGAGTCAGCATAAAAAAAGCACATTTGCTGTCATAAAGCTAATGTCAAGTTCACCACCCCAAAAATTGGAGTATAAGACTTCACTGCAGATGCAGAAGCACAATCCAAATGATTAAGTTCCAATCTGTGCAAGTCTTCACATGCTCAGGTGGCAGTGGTCACTATGCAGGAGGGTTCTGATTTCTAGGGAGGGCTTCCTTTTACAATACAGAAGTTTTGGCAATCTAAGAGAAAACTTGAGCCTGCTTGGAAATCTGTAATAGGAATTTAAATACTGCAAAGTAAAAACGTAGTTTTCAAAGAGCTCAGAACCATAAGCAGTTCACTAAGAAAGCTGAGGGAAGCGAGGATGGAAGAAAAAAAATCCACTGACTCCTTGCAGAGCACTCAGTCTCCACCACCTCCCCCAAAAAACAACCTAAAGCCACACCCAGAAGATGAAGAATTAGTGTTTTAGCCATGGATGAGCTTCAATGGAAGCCTTGCTTCTGTCTCCATAGTCATACAACAGTTCTTCACCTGCTTTAATGTCTCTGGAAGCTATCAATATGAGATGAGGCACACCATCAATGTCATGAAGCTTTGTTTGACAATTGCCACATTTGCTGTGATTAATCAGTCTTCCCAGACGATTAGTTTCTTTTGTAGCATCAACACTGGAAGAACAAGAACATTTCATGCACAAATCATATTAAAGGACAAGAAACAAAGTGCAAACTAGATAAAGAATTTGGAATACATACAAGGCTTGGAAATTAAAATAGAGAAGTTGTCTGTGCAATGGCTTTGGAAGAACTGAAGTTTAGGGTGAAAAAATAAAAAAGAAAAACCACACTGGAGTGATGAAGCATGCATGTGTAGTTGGTGACAAGTACTGAAGGAAGAAGCACCCAGAGACACCTGAAGGAAGTGTTTTTCTCTTCCTATCTGTTTCTACTGCTTTTCTAAAAGAAAATGATCATAACTCAGGAAAAGTGGCTAATTTCACAAGACAGTAAGTGTAGGAAGAAATCCATGGCAACGCTGGAAGTCTCATCCAAAGTAGATACATCTCTCCATACAGATGGTGCTGTGCTTCAGGGAATAGGGCTGAGAGTTGCTCATCAATCCCTTTAACCCAGAGGTACAGAGAGCTCTTGGCCAGCAAACAGCGCTCCAAGAGGATTCCCTAACTCGTGGTACCCAACCAAAAAAGACCAACAAAACTGTATGAAAACAATAAACAAACACACAAACAACAACAAAAAACAGCATTCAAAAGTTTCTACTGCTCATCTGTAACACACAAAGCAAAAGCAGCTTACCAGTATGTTTTGCTGAGGTACTGAAAATAGTACATATAGCAGCCTGTGGATGGATCTTGAGCATACACAGCCTCCCGCTTTTTAGCATCAGTGATCTCTATGAGATCTCCATGATATTCAACTACAAATTCTCCACGATTAAAATGTTTAGTAGCAATTACTCCTCTGCCTTTGCCATCAATGTAATCAATCTGTTGAGTTGAAAAGAAACAAATCACATGGGAAATGAGAAGGTACTCATGACTGCCAGTAAGCTGTTTACTAGGAAAGGAGTGCATGACATTTGTCATTAAAGTGACATGGCACAGCATCTGAATGTCACAGACAAAGCTGTGGAAGCACAATTTACTGTATTAGAGAAATAGAGCGACTTCAGGATGCAACACAGCTACCATGCATTTTGCATTAGAATGCCTAAGCTTTTCCATTTCAATGTTACCATTAGCATGCACAGGAAGAAGAGATGACAGGAGTATAGAAAGGTCAATCACACAAATTGAATTAGTTACCCACTAGAACACTTCATTCTTCCTGCCTCTACCTGTGAGCTGTACAACTCCTACAAGGATGTCACTGTCCTAGAAGCCACAGTGTGAACTGCACACTGCTGCTTTTTGAGAACCACTGTGCTTTTAAGAGCTTACTGCATGAACAATACACAGTACTCAGGTTAGCATTGCTGTTACCTTCATTCCTTCTTCTTTCCCACTTGTAATTAGTGCATCGATTTTCCTCCTTTCCTCAGTCTGAGGAAGTAACAAGACAAAAAAACAAGACCAAGTTATTTGTTGGTAGCTTTTGTATTTTATTCCATAGCTAACAGGAAATGATTGGCCAATGGCATTC